AAAAATAGGTAGTTGCTGATTTTCGATGTTAAAGGGGATTATTTAAACACCTTTATTTTCCATCCAGACTATCCCATCAACTGAATAAGCCAGGCGATAATTTCTTTGATGTGCTAAGTGCTGTTGAAATAGGCCATTCAACAAAGAAGCCTAAAAGCTATTTTCAAACAATGGACCACTGATGACTGTTTAAATAATGATCGAGCATTCCACGGGAGATGGTATAAAAAGATAATCAAGAAATCATTTTGTTCAAAGAGCATTTTCAAAATTCATGCAAGGACAATGCTAAACGCAAATAGTGCGACGTAAATCTCACATGGTATTAGTTCTAGTTTCATCGCAATTAATCTTGGCCACTGTGAAAACAGGAAAAAAACGCGGCCATCCTTTCTTATTTCGACTAGTTGCAAATTTTGCAAGACTAGGATAGCCTGTTCACAGACCCTCTAAGTTCTTTTCAAAGTCCGTCGAGCGCGCAGAACGAAAAGAAAGATTAAACAACGTCTGTGTACAGGCTAGACTAGTAAAGACTGGTGAAAGAGTTTTGCCTCTATTTACGAGGTAAGCTTTTCTTGGTTTTACGGCGTTAAAGGAGCCGTTATAGTATATTCTTTCCATAATGTAGCTCTGGCCCTGAGGAAGGCTTATTTTTTTTAGCCGAAAAATTGTCCTCAAATAAATCAGTCCTTTGCTGTATTACCAGCCTTTCAGTCAGTTTGGCTAAATAATTACTTCTACAACCGTCTAGGTCAAGTCACAAGCCCCTGAACAATGGCGAATCCAGACCTTCAGATAAGGGAGGGGGGGGGGGTGGGGGATAATTTTGGGGGGCGGGCTTGGCGTTAATTCGAGTAAATACGGTATACATGTATATGCATGAGACTTCGATGTCGGGTCTATCTAGCCAGGGACATCCTATCCGGGAACACCCCACCCGGCCGCGGGGATAAAGTTATAACGTCGACAATTTGAGCCCCTCCTGGTTGACGTTCGTGTAAGGGTTCTTGACTCTTGAACTAAGGCTGCAACGTCTGAACTGGAACAGTAAACTCCCAAATTAGACATACTTTTATTTTTTTCTAAAAACAATTCCTTTTGAAAATAACATGATTTAAAGAAAGCACTTTACCAAGTTCAGCGATTTGTTGAGAAACCACTAGATACACCAAATTAAGGTTTCGATAAAATTTTAAACAATGGGGTATTTATAATACACAGCTTAACACAAAGGCGACGGTCCCAAACAATGTGAATGTAATAGGCCTCTCGTATAAAATCTTTAGAGCTATTTGCAGAGGAGGCGAGAGGGAGACTAGACTTTTGATAATGGCTTGGGCAATAACCAACTCAAATGCACTATCTTAGGAAAAGGGGGGGGGGGGGGGGGGAGAAGAAAAAGGGAGGGGGAGGGGTGTGCTCAGGGATTTCAAACCTTCCGCCTCCCTTCCCTTACGTTCCCAGCTCCCCCTCCTTGTCTTAACTTCCTTCCCCTTAACCCTTTAGTCCGGAAGACCACCCGTCCAAACTCCAGTCAAAGAACGACTGGATTATAAAGATGAGCTATTAAGAGGTCGTGTGGATAAAAGAGAGGGAGAGGGGGGGGGGGGGGAGGAGAGGGAGAGAAAGGTTAGAGGAGGGGGAGGGAAAAACGAGAAGGAAAGGGGGGTGGGGGGGGGGGGGGGGGGGGGGGGGGGGGGGGGGAGAAGAAAGAGAGAGGGGGAGGGGTGTGCTCAGGGATTTCAAACCTTTCGCCTCCCTTACCTTACGTTCCCAGCTCCCGCTCCTTGTCTTGACTTCCTTCCCTTTAAGCCTTTTTCGATTGCTAAATATTTAACTTTATTGTGTAATTTTCCCATATTTTCCCCGCTTACCTGCCTTTTAGAACTCCCAACTCCCGCCCTTTCCTCTCCCACTTCCCGTAGCCCTCCCACCCGCTATTTCCCCGGGCTCCTACTCCTTGTTCTCTGGCACTATTTACCCCAGTGAGCTCGAAAGCTGTTGAATAATTGAAACCCATATTTTCACTCGCTCATCACAGGAGAGAGAGAAAGAGAGAGCTAAATAGTCATTACACTACTAAGGTTTGTCTCAACTCGTGATCGATTCCTTCCGGAAGCCCAATTTTGCCTCACTCCTCTAGTTTAATTACATGGGCATATAGCTAAATGGTTCTTCTAAACTTGAACTAAAAATAATTACTGCGGTGATTTCATACCCAGATTTCCCACGGCAGCGTAATGCAGAGTGAAGCCTGGATACAAGAAGAATTGCGGTGTTACACTGGGTTAAAAATATTACATTAAAAATGTTTTTGAAGATACGGCTGAGAGTTAGACTGGTTTCTCAACTTATAAAGGAACAGAGAATCTTTAACCCGGATAATGTTTCCTTGCCAACGGGTTCAATGTACGAAGGGGGAAGAATGAATCCGTTCTCCGCGAAGAAAGACGGTTGAAGCTCAACTCCGTAAGAATGTGTTACTCCTAACACTCCGTGAACCCAGTCTGTAGCGTCTCCAGAAGTCTTATCTGTAATCAAACATAAACATGATTAAGGTGAGCGCACTATGGTGAACCCACTACCCTCCCCGCCCCTCCTTTGCCCCTCCATCTACCACCCATACCACCAGTGTGGACCCAGTTATGTCTTAGTGTAGACTAGAGTTTGTCGTCAGTTGACTTCTCTGCTTCGAGAGAGAGAGGTTTTGTTTTAGTGCAGACTTGAATTTGTCGTAAGTTCTCTCCTCTGCTTCGAGAGAGAGTTTTTGTTACGGGTAATCCAGTTTTCTTCACCCCTTACAAAGGGGTAGGGGGCTGCTAAAATTTCGTTGCACATGTAACAAATCTGTGGGACGTTAAAGAACCCACACACTCTTCGTAAAGAGTACGGCACGTAGTGCCCGGTGTAGTGGTCTATCCAACTTTCACACTCATGTATGGGGGCATCATTACTCATTCCTTCATTACGTGTAAACTGCACTGCAGTCTGGCAAAGTCCCACAACCAGTGTAAATTATCCCTGAAAAGCCCCGAAGGGAGTGGATAATAAGACATTTCCAATTTCCAATTTACTGAATATAAGAATGTAACCACTTACATATAGCGATGGCCGCGGGTCCATATCGAAAAATGGTGCCATGGGTGTGGTAGATCTTCTGAACAATTTTTCTCATAGCGGGTAACTGTTAAAATTCAAGAAATGGAATATCATTAATACTGAAATGAGCTGAACGATGATCAAAAGCATTTTTATTTTCATCTTTGTTGAAAGAACACTCACGTCTTGTAACCTAAGGGACTTTCTAAACTGTCGGTACAAGGGGAGATTCATAGCCTCGACCTTCACAATAGATACAAATTCTCCGGCTAATATGTTCGGAAAATATCGGTGGATACTCTGTCGTACACAGCTGATCAAATGAGTGAAAGTAGGAAGAACACTTGAGCAGGGGTATTCTTCCTTATATGTACATCCCCCTCCGCCTGTCCCTAACGGGGGAGAGGCTGACGGGAGAAAACTCCCCCACTTCCAGAGCTCATCAGTACGGTGGCTTGTAGGGATCAAAACACGTCCCAGAATTCAAAAACACTTTCCAGAATCCAAACCACTTTTGGATTCTGGGAAGTGTTTTTGAATTCTGGGACGAGTTTTGGATTCTAAGACGTGTTTTTGGATTCTGGGAAGTGTTTTGCATGGATTCTGGCACGTGTTTTGTCCCTATGAGGCACGGTACATCAGAGAGCTTCCTAGCTTGCTGTCCCACCCATTCAAACTTACATGCTCTTTATGAAATGTTGGTGGAAGAACTGTCGTGAAACCCCATGGAGACATCCAAAGCTGTCCGTAGCAGTGAAAGTCCACATAACCTTTGATCCGTCTTCTTATTGAGTACATGTATTTGCCCAGATTTCTAGCTTCCGGTTCGGAGAAAGGCCACAATCCAGGATAAATGTCACTACAAGGTTTGCCATAATCTGCTCCGACAGCTGATGAGTACAAGATTTATCCTGTTACTGTGGATCTCACATAAGTCTGGGAGATTAACGCGGCTTTGCTTCGGCGCGCTCTGTGATTGGCTTAAGAGAGAAATCCTGGGAAAGTGGCGCCAGAGCTTATGGGATGGTAACGGAGAGCACGATAGTGAAAAGCGTTGCATTGTACAGTAGAAAACGTTTTTAACGCAACTTGCGTGTTATGGCATCATTAAAGACGCTCGCTTTCCTGCAAGCAGATTTTTAAGTAGCGACGGGGAGGAGGTGAGCGAACGCTTAGTATTGCCTTTGTGTCGTCGCCATCTTTCATTTCGAACAATAACAGCTACAAATTACTTACTTGCCCACTTGATGTTGAAATTTCTGTTCAGATCCGTGCCAACGCATTTCGTTGAGTTAGACGGTCTTCTATTCTTCCTCCACATCCGGTTCTTTAATAAATCAAACCTCAATTCATGAATAATGCATCATTAAACTGAAGCAATCACAGTATTCTAAAATGTCAAGCTTTGATACATAGCAATTTACTAAAGGCGCGTTCGATAGCCTGTATTCCGAAATAACAATACATTGAATATACTGTAGACATCACTTGGCTTAGCTTTCATTAAGTGGTAAAATCCAGAATTCTGGTGGAATTTGAAAGTTAAGATGAGCGTAGCATTCCAATGGTCCAAATCCCCTAGGATCTTTTTTCTTATCGTTTTTATACCAATCTGCAACGTCTTACCGTAGAATGAGTGTAAACATATCCATCCACATTTACAACAGGAATTACTATCCACTCTAGCTTGTCCACTAAATCTCTTATTGATTCGTCAGTTCTGTACTTGAGTACGAGCTGGCCAAAAACAAAGAAAAGAAAAGAAATGGAAGAATGGAAAGGAAAAGAAAAAGGAAAGTATAGGAACTGAGTTCGCATTAACAAGATTAAGATTTACTATACCGCTAACATTGATTTTTGCATGTATAATTCTATATAATTAATATTATTCTAATTATCTTGTTGTAGTAATTTATCTGAGGGAGCCCATTCCTTATACGCCCGGTGGCTTTAATTCCCTTGGGCTTCTTGGCCATCAGGTTTTTAAATATTTAGATTAATTTTTCTTGATTTTTTTTTTGTACATTCTTATGGAAAACAATAATCTGAAACTGAAACTGAAACTGAAACAAAACTAGAACTGTAGAAACGTAGTAAGAAAGAAAAACTGGTACATTTTGGGTACGGAAAACGATACGTCGGACAACGCCTTTGGATGGTTGAGGAGTAGATCAGTAAGATATCGGTCTGGGTAAATCTAATTAAGGCACGCTTAACTTCGAGCAAATCTGCTAGTGGTTTTTTCACACGTGACCTGTCAGGCACCCCTTGCGTTTGGATGAACATATGACGTGTTGTACGCGTTCTGCTGCAGCTTCCTTATAAGGATCGATCCACATCAGAGCCCCCGCTAGCAAATCATTACGTAGACTGCAGGCAATCTCTCTTTCTTCACATGTAGTAAGTGGAACAGTGGCGGATCAGGGGAGGGGCCCGAGGGGGGTTGAAAAAATTTGGGGGAGGACCGCCCTCCCTTATCTAAAGGTCGAGATGACCGCTGCCCCACCCCTCCCCCGCACTGTGGAATGTAAGCGGACTAGAGCGTCGAGCCGTCTCGCGTCTTCCACATTTTGTGTCTCACGCCTTTCGCTCGATGGACTAAGAAAAAAAAAAAAAGAGTCTGCTCCTACTCTAATCATTACGTTATTAAGGATATTTCCCTCCAAGTTCGTCATGGTCTGTTAAACTTTCCAATTAAGAGTTGCGTGGTATTTTTTCTTGAATAAATAGTCTGAAAAAATGAACGTGTGTGCTAAATTATTGTACCTCTCTGGCGACATACACACAAGTTGAAATTGCAATCCATTCTCGCGCGTGGAGACCACAGTTGATAAACATTACTGACTTGTTTGTGAGAGACCTGTTTGAAGAGATCTGAGACAAAAAGAATCAATGTTTAAAAAGATTACTGACCACCAATGATGAATCTAGGACAAGGGCCGATGAGTTAGGGAGGGGCAGCCACACTCCTTATTAGGCAAAATTAGCAAAAACTACAGGACCCGGTTGCTCAAACGATGGAAAGCGCTATCCACCGGATTAATCACTATCCACCGTGGATAAGTATTAGGGAAACTAATTGCACTTTCCACTGGATAGAGCTTATCAGGCCCCAGTTGCTCAAAAAATTGAAAGCGCCATTCACCGGATAAATCACTATCCGGTGGATAAGTATTAGGAGAACTAATTGCGCTATTCAGTGAATAGAGATCTATCCGATGGATAGTGATATCCACCTTATCAACAACTGGGGCCTGGTGGATAACGTTATCTGTCTATTGAACAACTGGTGCCAGGACGACAAAGATGATGGCACGGCAGATCGCTGGAAAAAGAATTCACCAAAGGCAGCGTGGCAAACTCAACACCAAATTTTACTTTCAGTCTTTTCCGCGCGCTTTTGCATTCTTGTTTGATGTCGCGTTTGTGTCGAGACTTGGAACTGTAAGATTTCTTTTACCTATAGAGCAAATAAAGTTATACCGTAAAGAAAAAACGTCTGGTCTTCACATGACAGACCTTGCAAGCGTTTGATTTTGATTTGAAAAGCTCAAAAAGAATGCTTCTTTCAACGCCATAATATGATTGTTTAGTGCTCTGAAATGGTGGCCAGAGTTTTCGCAGCAGGAAACTGGTCTATATAAGTTGTCCAATGTACCTTGGATGTAAATCGGCCTTTAAAATAGCAGCAATAGTTTTTTAACGAGGAAAATGAATAAATATACTTAAAATAACAGCAATTTATGGTACCTTAATTCCGTGTATGGTTCGATTCTCGTAGGTTTTTCCAATACTGAACACTTCTACAAGCGTTTCGTTGAGTCGCTGTAGTCGCCTCATTTCGTGGACAATCTAGTGATGAACCAACGTAAAGGATTGCACTTTTTCTTTTCTTTTAATTTAGGTATACATCAATAGCCTGAGAAAAAAACGCCGACATTTCGCGACACCACTACTGGTTTCCCCATGAAATGAGTTCTGAAGAACGAGCGAAGAAATTCCATGCTGAAGACATGTCACTACCGGCCAGATCTGGGTAGTGTTTTTAATTGGTTGAAGCAGGTTTACCTGGCTTGCGGCGCGACCAGTGAAAAGCACTAACCAGATCTGGGTAGTGACACGTAATCAGTATCATATGGAATTTCTGCAGTCGTTCCACAGAAGTCATTTCGCGGGGAAACTAGTGGTGGCGTCTCGAGATGTCCGCGGTTGTTTTTTTACGCGTAAATCACTTAACACTACCTCGTTTATTGTGATACGTTTTCTTGTAAAGGAATAAGATGGTACTCCGATAACAATAGAGAGTTTTAGATCCGAGTTTACCGCGAACCTCTAACCGCTGGAGGTCACGTGACAAGTCTTTCGCGTCACGTTTGAGGTTTACGACGTGCATTTTCAACGTGGGGAGGTAGGTTTTCACGTATGTCATTTACCTGAAAGCTTTTAGCGTATAATTCTTGTTTCATCCCACGTAATGACACAAAACACAAATTCGGGCGAAATGCTAAATTTTATAAATCCTATTGGATCTTGAAAACAAGTGCCATTCATGGCTGCTAATTCAAAATGTCGGCCGTAATTTAATCCACCGCCAATCTAAATCGAATTATGTTTGAACGTCTAACCGCAAACGGGTAACCGCAAACCGTGCTTAGAGGTTCGCGGTAAACTAGGATCTAAAACTCTCTAATACCTTTTTATCATACTTTTCCACACAATACCGCATACAACGTTGTTCAGACTCACCTGAGAATACGAACGGAAAGCTCCGCTGAATGGCACTCCGGAGCGCGCTCTCATTCGTTCTCCATTGATTAAACGTTGTAAGTTTCTTATTTTTACGCGGAAAGAAATCTCTCTCCTTGCGAGAACGTGCTTAAATTCCCGCGCCCACCGATGAGTCACGTGGATGTCTACTGGCTCACCAATCTTACTTGGGTAGGTCCAAAAATCAAGCTACAAAATAGGACTGTAGATTAGCAAGCGCCAAATTACGTTATGGATGGATTGAAGTTCGAGCAATGAAGCCTATAAACGAACAGCAGGATTTGTATGTGAAGTATATCAAGCAGGAAGAACTCGGTTAGGGGGCCTAATGCATTGCATTGCGTTGCACGAGGAGAATTAAGCTAGAATGCATGAAATTTAACTAAATACTCTGAGCCAACATAGAAAGAACGGAAAGAGATCTTTACTCCGTGATAAAAAGGGGCCGATTTTAAGTTACCAAAGCAGGTCGATTCAACACTAAGAGCGCGTGTTCTAATTGGGGTCAAAGCACGTTTTGATAAACATAAATATCGTATTTATTCGATTAACCGCCCTGGGCGCTTATTAAATTTTTGGACCTTAAGCGTGGGCGCTTATTAAATTTTCAGCATTTTAAGCAAGTGTAGTATGTTTATTTTGTAACAAAACAGTAAATGGTAATGACAAAACTCGAAGATGTAAAAAAGCAAGGTTCCTGTAAAATACTTTGAAGAAATCTCCGTCTTCGGGGAGGTCTCTTATTAGTACTTATTCAATTTTGGGGGGTGGGGTGGGGTTGGTCGCTTATTTGAGTTTAAGTGGGAGTGGGAGGGAGTTGGGGTGGGGTGGGCGCTTATTCGAGGCTGGGCGCTTATTAACTTTTTCTGCCTTTAGGATGGGCGCTTATTCGAGGTGGGCGCTAATTCAAGGTTGGGCGCTTATTCGAATAAATACGGTACTAGAAAGTAACTTTTATCAGTCTTCTTCTCTTCTAATCGAGAGAAAGACGTAGTAGTGTTCACAGAAGAAAGAATGGTGTGTTTTTGACCCAACAAAGGAACTGCTTTATTTTGCTAAAGACTGGGGTTAGTCGGGTAATGGAACACAAAGCCTAACATTCCTCAAACAAACAATTTGTACCGTACCTCAAAATCATTTTTATCAAACAGGTTATTAAGGTACTTCAGTGCTTCTTTCGTCCCAGGAATAACTTGTAAAACTTTGTCACTGTAAAAGATAATAAAGGAAAGCCGGAACGCATTTTATATTTAATAATTATTTTCTCAGCCTTAAGTTGTGTCTAGAAAGTATTCCATGAGACTGAAACAGCCAAAGAGAAATCTCTCGCGCGATGCACCGGAAAGTAACGCGCGAAGGGCTTATCGAGAGACTGGAAGAAGATTACACACGCAAGCGAGCCGCGAAGGAAAGGAAGATTGCACGCAGACATTTTTTGTGCGTTTTACATAAGGGCGTAGCCTGCGAGCAAGCTCTACTGTTTGGGCAAGTGAAACAGGTCTCGCGAAAACGCGCGAGCGAGCGGCGAAGGCCCCTTGCTCGCGCGTTCTCGCGAGGCTCACTTCGCTTGCCCAAATAGGAGAGCTTGCTCGCAGGCTAATAAGGGCGTTGCAGACAGGGTTTTTTCTTTTTTTTTAACAAAATAGAAAAGCAAGTTCAAAACACAGCCTATAACAGAAATGACCATACAATATAAATGCTAATGTATCCGACAACGATAAAAAGTTCTGACTTCTTAGGTCAATCTTATGCTCAATCAGATAACGTAAAAAATGGAGACGACAAGCGTTAAGAGAGAGAAAGCCAATAACTACATCCTCAACTCTTTCATTTAAAGTTCTCACTTTGAATAGAAGTTCACAGCCAACTAAATCTTGCCGGATTGACGAGTCTTTTTGCTCGCAACCATTTCAAAATCGGAAATTATACGAAATCCTGCCGGTTTTGCCTTTGTAAAAATTGATGAACTTCCTAACTTAATATTTTCTACACTTCTCTGTTCCCCGGCCCTGCTTCTTAGAAATAATTAATTCTCTTTGACTTCCGCTTCGAAACTAACCTGCGTGGCAAGCCTTCGAAAGGGAAGGGGAAGTTGTGGACAAGTGAACTGATCTAAAAACGAGCACGCGAAAACGCAATGACCGCACAAGCAAAGGGAAACCGGGTAACAATGTATAAAAATTAAAAAAAAAACAACTGCCTTCTCTCTCCACAAGCAGATCAAGAATTCTTTACTAACTTTCTTTCGTTAGTATTCTCTTTTCCTCTCGACCACGGACAGACGACAGAAAATCGCAAAAGCTAGGAAACTGTTTCAAAGTTAACATAAAAAATTTGCGCACTTGAAAAACTAAATCTTGCTGTAAGTGTCATGAGTCAAAATATTTTTTTTCTTGATGGCCATGTGTTTTCAACTAAACTTTTTTGTGAAACTCATTTATTAATATTTCGAATTCAAGATGCTTCCTCTCTAAAATCAAAAGATTTTGACACACGGAATCAACCCTAAAGACATGCAGATTACCATTTAAAGGTAACCATTTCGACAGTATTTTCGCATATGACTGATTTATTTCTTTCCACACTGAATATGGTAGAAAATGACCATCACCTTATTTGGACACTTATTTCTCCTCAAAGTTTACCCGATTCGGCTATTAACACTGATTATCACTTTGGAAGACTGGTAAAAATGTTGAATGACCTGACAAGCAGGAAACACTCATGGGCAAGAAAATCTGATCAATATTTCAAGTAACATTGGCGCTAACCGGCGAGAACACAGCAGAAAGGTTTTCTCATGCGTCCCTTTTTACGGATCCCAGGACAAAAACAACGCTCGCTGTAAGGGAAATCGCGATTAAGGAATCCGCGAAGTTTTTGGTTGTGGAATCCGGAATATGCAAACGCGCGAACGACAGTTTTTGGGTAGCTTAGATCATGTGTCAGTGTACGCGCTGCAGTATGGGTTGCTATACCCCCGGGGTTTCTTTTCTCCTCCAACTACAATTATAGCCTAGGTATCCAGGGGTATAAGATCTTCCCCTGGGGGTTTTGGGAGCGTATATTTTAATGAGAGGACTTTCATTTCGCTTCTCTCTTCCACTTTTCCACAGAGAAACGCCTGACACTCAGGATACCTTCAACAAACTCTGAACCACGAACGGAAGAGGTAGCGTTTGATCGGAAACGCCTATACAGACAGGAAGATTAAGTACGCCGGCATCAGTTTTGAATTCGTCGTACTGACCTCTCGTCAAGCGATAGACGCACGTACGCAGATGGCAAGGAAAATAAAGATGATGAAGAAAGTGAGTTGAGGGTTAATTTTACGTCGACAGTACGCAAAATACGTCGCGGAATTGACTATAATGATCAAGCTTCGGTATTCCCTCGCCTAGCTGCTTTCAAACCTAACCCGGTCGTCGGCCTATCACGAATTTATCAAATCGACCCTCAAGATTAAAAAGGGGATATCTGAGCCGGTTAATGTTAACAAACATAAATATTTACCAAAAGAGTGGACGGGATTGTATAACGAGAACGATCGAGAACAGCTATTGCAAGCAAGGACGATTTAATACGCAAATCAAAAGATTTATATTATCAGTTTTACGTCGCTCTTCCTAGATCAAAACTAGTACTGATCAGACTCACCCGTTGAATGTTTTTCTTCCCTCTGCATTTGTCTGTCCGAACACCAGGAAGGTAAAAAAGATCAGAATTCGGCAGAAAATAGCGAAATGTTTTGTCCGCAACATCCCACTGCAAACTCAATCAGTGTCGGTGAAAACGGAAAAACGCATTCAAGGACCAATGTGTCTTTGAATTACCGGCAGTAACATGATATACAGCGAATGACATTCTAGCACAGTATTAATTAAGAGAGGTCACGTTTTTAGTCAGCAGGTTTGCGTGACAAACTTGTGGCCTGTCCAAAAGCGATCACGAAAAACAATAAAAATAAATAAATAAAAATTTGTATAAGTGGCTTTTGACTGATTGTTTCTTTGTTAGAGTTTTTCCTTACTTTTTTTCGTTCGTTCGAAGGGTACTCTGATCTCGGGATCCGGGATTTGACTCGAAAAGTAGCGGCGGAAATCGGGGATACGCAAACTTTGTTGACGGGATACGGGATTTGAACGCCCACTCGCAAGCGGGATGAACCAAAATCTTGGCCCGGGAAAAGCAAAAATGTATTCGGGAGAACGGTGACGGAATTTCGTTATGCGGGATCGTCAATAGTTACTAAAAATATAAGGCTTTCAGTTTTCATTACCAATTAATTGCACTGAAGCACACGTACAAACTCCACGCATGATATGGCCATTATCTTAGGCATGCGCACAGCCATATCACCCGGGCAGTGGCAGCCATACTACGGAGTTGGTACGTGTGCTTCGAGCTGGAGTGCAGTTAATTGGTTTTATTTTCAAAAATACCCGTGTTCTCAAAAGGACCCTGGCTGGAGTAGCCACTAACCAGTTACAGCCCGTTTCAATCTAAAAACTGTTCCGTTATCCCTTCCCGGCCGGACTCTCCACCTCGCTCCCCGTAGTGTGTGTATGTTTAGGGGGAGGGGGTGCGGGGGCACTTAAGGAAAACTTGGTTGAGCTGTGCAGCCGAAGCCTCCACACCCTGACCATGACAAAAATCGTTCATTTTGGTACCCAGTTAAAAGACAAGAGACCTTTAAGGTTTGGCAAACTGATGTCTACTGAAACCATGCTCCGTCTTTATGAGGCATTTATACTTCCTCACTTTTATTATTGTTCTATGGTCTGGCATTTCTCTAGTAAACAAGATTTTGATAAGCTGGACCTTATAAACAAACGTATTCTTCGATTTATTTTCAAGGATTTTAACTCTGAGTACAATAATTTACTTAAAAAGGCAGGAACTGCAAACCTTAAGGACAAGCGTCTACAAAACATGATTCTTACTATTTTTAAATGTCTTCATTTTTCTGATTATCCAAGATATTTAAAAGATATGTTTCGCTTACGCTTTAGCACCTATTTTGTAAGGGGACATAATATGCTCTGTTTGCCTAAACCATTGACCACTTCTTATGGTATCAATTCCTTTAGTTACTTGGCAGTAACATCTTGGAATTCTCTTCCTGACCATTACCGCACTATTTCAGATTTTACTTCTTTTCGACGACTGATATCTACTGTTAACAATAATTTACTTAAAAGGGAAGGAACTGTAAACCTTTCTACATCAAGATAATTTGCAAGTTAGTTGTCTAGGTAGTTAGTTATCTTATTTGTTATATAGAATTAACTTTTTATTATAATTTTTTATTAATGTAGTTGGCTCGAAGGTATTAGCGCTTGAGTGCTACACTGTAAATTCGAGGGTAAATAATGTTTATTGATTGATTGACCTTATCTCTACTCTGATTCATTTTGCTTCGCATACAGAATTGTTCGTTAACATCATAGGATATGATTTTTTTTTCTTTTTTTTTTTCTTTTTCGAAAAAAATCTTGCTACCATAAATGTAGACCGCTCATTGCTAATCTGCGATCAGGCGGTCCTTCTTCTTCCCTTCTAACCACTCGTCTGTTCTCCTTCCCGTGTGGACAGTTATTGTCCACTCTATCGCCATTATAAAAGACAGATAAAAGAAAAAAAGAGGAAAAAGACAAACTTCTTCCATCATAAAAAGAAATGATCGCACGGAAGACTGTGTTAAAAAGTCTTTTTGACCGTGAGAACCTGGGTTGAAAATAATTCCAAGATGGCGGACGAGTTGCACGGTTGCACGTCCAGAAACACGAGGCATATTTTCGTCTTTTTGTGATGGACGGGTAATTCCGTAAAGGATGCTTACACCAGTATTTGAATTGAGCCAGGATGATGATTTTGTGGTAGTGATAATTAAGACTCCATATGTCAAGGTATCGTTCAAATTTTGTGTAAAGGTAGTCTCATGCATCGGTGTTTAAACGTCGGGTCCTGTTTTTATTCAACTTTTCATTATAAGAATTTTTTTTATGCCCTTGCTTTATTCTTTCATTTATCTTCAGATTGCTGATGTGGATTTCTGCATTAATGGAACAGAATTCAAGTTTTACGTGAAGCCCTATTTTTTAAGGTGAGCGAGAGACACCTTCTATATCAAATTGGAATTTTGAAAGGAGTGCTGTTTTTTGAGGTACACGGAGATAAAGTCTCTTCAAGCAGAGATAACTAGTAAGAAGCTAACAACGAGCTTAGCCTGCATATGGCATCGGCTTCGAGACTTTAACCCAGGCAATCGGGAGGGAATCTCCTTCCCAGAGTCTTCTGGCTTTTTTGTCAGTGATCCCTGTAGTTACCTTGCTGACCCACAAGCTAGAAGACTCTGGCTACGAGACTGGGCGGGAGATGATTGCTCTCACCACTTCACCAGCCCTCCTCACCACTCCAGGAACAGCAGAGCACGTGGAGGAGGAGACAGGGGAGCCCCTATCCCCCCCCCCCCACCCCTTTTCACAACATTTTAAATTTAATGCATGGTCAGGAAAAAATTAGCAAAAAATTTGTTTCATTTCCAAGACTGAATTTGCCGCGAGAACTAACTGAAGATGGTAGAGAGTCCGCCACATATCATGTTGATAAAGGTGAGAACCACTTTGTTAGCAGCTAATAAATTTTTTATTTTCTTTCGGAATTTTTTCCAACTTTGCATGGTCTTATTATTATTTTGGGTCACATGACATTGAACAATGAAACTGTTTTCTGCCAAATGTCTCTGGGTGGGAAATATTGCTTAATCTATTCAATCAGATTTGTTCTGACCACGCCTCCAAGAAGGGAGTCCCTGTGTTTTGATTCTTGTTAGCAACTGTTAAGTCTTTGCATTTTGTGTGCTTGCTTAAGGGAAGTTTGACCGTACTAACTACTGTCTTGTAAATAAATTGTCTACACCGTAAAGACTTTCTGATTTAGATATTTTTGTGTATTTTGCCAAGGACAGAAATATGAAATACATATAAAAACAGCATTTACCGGCTAACCACTGTAAGGAATCATTTCTTTTACATTTATTGTTTTGTAGGCACATTTTCAGTTAAGCTTCCTAAACTTAATTCAGGAGAATTCTTTGAGGGTCTGGACCTGCTAACTACTCTGCTGGCTCCCAAGAAAAAATCCCCTGTTACAGTCAAGCCACTTATAAGTGAACTCACTGGTAAACTCATTTGCTTTATGTTCTAGACTGGGATGGAGTGGATCCCAACAATCACTCTGTTTCACCTTAGGGTTTCATTAGTCTGCATCACAGATGTAATAAGACCCCTGCAAGTGGTATCTGCAAAGCAGAAACATCCTTGTTGTGGGTCCTTTATGTACTCAGCAAATTACCTATGACAGGGCTGTCAACCCTCCACCACTTCAAATATTGAGAATTGATGGGGAAGGGATGATAGATGACATCATCATGCATGGCACATGACGTCGTTTGTGAAAAAAAACAAAACAAAACAAAACAAAACAAAAAACGACCAAAAAAGATGTTGTTAGAATTGTAACATTTGACCTAACTGGTTTACTTCCCACCAATCACATTATTGCTTACATGTATATTACAACCGTATACCAGAGTTTGTGAGGAAACATTCAATGTTAACAGTAAAATAGATCAAATAAGGCAAAATATGTCAAATTTCATTGTCAGAAAGTCGATCGAATCTACAAGAAATGGCAAACTTCGGCGATTATCCGTGAGATTTCAGACTCTAATCTGGGCAGCGGGAGAAACGTTTCAAAATCTGGAGTCTCCCGGATTATCTGGGAGAGAGTTGACAGCCCTGCCATCACACAGATTGACAATGTTTCTTTTTTAAAACAAGCTAACCATTTTGCTTCCTTTAATCCGGATACACAGCTGGAGGCCTTAAACAAAAAAAAATTTAATGAACCTTTGGTGTTGTAGAATTGTTAATACATGTATGATCTTTACCCCCACTTCTGTGCATGTTAAGTAAAAGGAAAGGAAAACATCGTATCCCCATTCATTAAACCATGGCAGTATTAGCTTAGTTGGTAGAGCACTTGAGAGTGGGAGATTGTAGGTCCATTCCCAGGGATTATCATTGCTACTGATTTGTCTTTGCTTTAAAGGTGATTCCAAATGTAATGAAAATAGTCTGAGTACTAATGATGGTGATGATAATGCTGATTATGATGATGACAACAACTTTCATTGGGAATTTGACCAGCAGTTGCCACATTCAACTCAGGTGAATAGTAATTGTCTTGTTTGCACTAAGAACCAACACAATTTTAGGCAGACTGACTGGGAATAATCTTAATCAGGGTTGTCAAAATGCACCGGCAACCAGCACCGTCACCAGCTACATTTTTTTAACCCATATCCCTAGTAGTATGTGTTCCCCTACCCAGGAAACACGTATCCCCAGTCATATGTGTTCCCNAAAAAAAAAAAGAGCGAAAAAAAAAAAAAATTTAACATGTGACCTATTTGGTTTACTTCCCACCAATCACATTATTACTTACATGTATATTACAATGGCATGCCAGAGTTTGTGAGGAAACATTCAATGTTAACAGTAAAATAGATCAAATAAGGCAAAATATGTCAAATTTCATTGTCAGAAAGTCGATCGAATCTACAACAAATGGCAAACTTCGGTGATTATCCGGGATATTTCGGACTCCAATCTGGAGAGCGGGAGAAACGTTTCAAAATCTGGAGTCTCCCGGATTATCTGAGAGAGTTGACAGCCCTAGTATCACAGATTGACAATGTTTCTTTTTTAAAACAAGCTAACCATTGTGCTTCCTTTAATCCGGCTACACAGCTGGAGGCCTTAAACAAGAAAAATTTAATA